AAAATTAAATTAATATTTCTTATTTTTAAAATTTTTTTTTTTTTTTTTTTTTTTTTTTTTTTTTTTTTTTTTAATATTTAATAATCTCGAGTGCAATATAAATACGCCTCATAAAAGTGTTTAAGGCTGACAAATTATTATAATCTCGACGAAAAGACCTAAATTCAATTACTACCTTGAGATATATATCGATTGCCCGGTATATTCCATCATGTAGTGATCTAGCATAGTTGGGAATTATAGCAGCAAGTGACAGGAATTCAGTTAATTTCAAGTTAACATCAGGTGCCACCTCAGCCAGATAACTGTCCACCAGATTAGCCACCATTGTCATGGGTGTAAGTGAATAAGAATCTCTAGCAAACTGATCCTCATCTATGAAAGAGTTTGAGGTAGAATCAGTTTCTTCCTGATCCATCGACATGAAATGACCAACAATCCGCTGAATACTGTCAATGTCATAAAGGGTCTCAACTGAATACCCCGTATTTGGGATGAGAAGATCTTCAAGAACTGCTTGATCCAATTGTGCCCCTATCCTTCTTTCCAAGTTTTCTCGACATGATGGACTAGTATGTAAAATTATGGATGTCCTTAGAAGCTTAAGCAAGAACTTTGTAGGTATAATGCCTTTTTGATTAGGTAGTAATTCTACTATCTCTTCAAGAAGAGTCCTATGATTTGCATCTGACATATTGGAAAGGGTGCAATTCTGAAAGCTTGATTTCCGACCATGTAATGGAAGATGCCTTTTAGCATAAAACATTATTGAACCCGCAATTCTCTCCGGTGACATGCCTTTGGAACCAACTACCAGGATCAACCTTTTGAAAAGAGACAATTGAAGAGAAGCCACATCTTCGTGCCACCAATCATCCATCATGGGATCTTGCTTTGAAGTTAAGTTTATCCTGTTCCATAGAGAAGTATCCACTTGACTCTGAGTAGCGCATCGTCCGGACACGGACCAACTTAAAAGACTCGGATCAGTACAAGCTTTTGCAGCCAATGAATCAATACATCTACAAACTATATGAAGTTCTTCTGTGAGGGGAAGGAACTCTTCACAAGTTTCAAGGACTTTAATGGAATCGACCCAACTCTCAAATACGTCGTTTAGGAAACTTTCGGTTGATGCAATGAGGTTTCCTTCTCCATAATCCTCAGTCATTTGAAGATACTCAGATGCACACCTAAGGCTCACTACATTAACTGCAGTAAGTTCTACTCTAATAGAATAACAGAATTTGACTATGAGCAAAAAGGATTTTGCTCCACCAGGTAAATCGTGAAGTTGTAAAACACTTTTTGCTTCAACCTCGCAGTTCACGTTCTCGGAAAGTTCTTGGATTAGCCTCTCCAACAATCGGCTCCTAGATAACAGTGGAAACTGGAAAACATAGCTGAAGTGTCAAAGCTAGTCAATGATAGATTACATAGGCATATAACAAAATAATATTAGAAAAGGATATAATAAGTGTACGAATATGAAAAGATGTGTCCATCTTCAAAGAGAAATATGAGGAGCGTGAAAACTTGTTTTGTTCTCATTTCTCTCTTGATATTGCATTAAAAGCAGCACCTTTATATATAGGTGAGCCTAAACAATTTGTGATTTGAGATAATGGATTACTCCCATCAATTGGGGAAAAATCAACGAAAACAATGAATTTCATGATTGTTGCCAAAATCTTGAAACCAGAACAATGTAGATCACTATGTTTGTTTCTCGACAACACGCAAAAAGGAGAAAAATATGGTGCAATAAATTTAACAACACACGTGAATATAAAATCAGACATTCAAAGGCTACAGACAACTACCTTGTGAAGATGGAAGCTTGTTTCACCAACTTCAACGTGAATATCACTTGGAAGGCCAGTGGAGCAGACCCTACAGAGAATGGACCGGGAGAAGTATGAGTAAGCAATGTGCACGATTCAGGGTATCGTAATTCAGAAAAATATGCAGGATTGTATGTTATTTAACTTTGTTGGTACATCGTCCATTTAAGTTAACAACTACAGTAACTAGATCTGACGAATTCAAATATCATTAAAGCACACAAAATTACTTAGATTGAAATGAATTGGGAAGCAATATAAAAATATCACCACAACCAGAATACCAAGTAAGTACTGTGTATTAAAATACTTCTTTGTCAAAAAAATAAAAAATAAAAAAAATACATACATACGTGTATGTTTATGTATTTATGTATGTGTGTGTGTGTGTGTGTATATATATATGGGTCCAAGTTTCGAGCCTACTGCCTTAAGAAAATAATTTGAGAATTCAGACATGCTATTATAGAGTCGGGGGAAAGAAAACAATTCTACAGAAAAAAACCTTATTTTCAACATCTTTCTAACATAATGAATGAAATGCACCGTGTCTTATCCAATTACATCCTGCTTCCCCCAGTAGCTGTGTTGCTCTCAGCTATAACCTTAAAAAACCTACTGTTGTGTGCTTGCTTCCAATTTCAGGTACATCAATTAATAGGTATACAAGGATTAATGTAAGACCCTTCAAGGACAGAAATTCATCCATCCATATTTTTTAAGGTCAACAAAAATCTAAACAACTCTATTATATTACCCTACTCCTATAAACTTCTCTATGTATTGATGCATCTGACACTGTTTTTGGAAGGCCTACCTTATTGGTTTATAAGCATATCCGGCTTACCTCATGATACAAGACGTTTCAAGGATGAGCTCTACCCAATGTACTTGTAATGGTAATATCCGTACACAAACACAATGTTGAACTGAGTTGATGAAGAAAAAGAAACTTAGAAAAACTAGCAATAAAATAATTTCACCAAAATGGAAGGTTTGAACATGATTATGGATTGCTGTCCTCAAACGATATTTGCCGTCATCAGGATAAGTGCTCGAAGGTTTTAAAAGGCAAATAATTGGTAGGAGTAATCAAACTTGGAAGATTCAAAGTTGAAAAAGAAACTTCAAAGAACAATATATAAAACTTAGTTTCACATTTTATTTTGGATATAAGTGAATCAATTTGATGTTAATGATATAATTTCAATCATGAAAACCACTCGTATATAGAATTACAATCGCCATGCACAAAAAGGTGCAAAAACCAAGCCAAAAATGTGTAAAACCCTTCAAAATGGTACCAGAATTTAAAACCCCACGGGTGTCCACCCAGTTCAACAACATGGCCACTGTAATTGCAACACAAGGCCGGGCGGCTGCCCAAACCATTTTTCAGCCTTCATCATTTTTTCTCATTTTGTTTTCGCTTGTTTTTCTCATGGTTAACCATTTTTATCACTTCCAAAATTGGTTAATTTGAACAATATCCAACACACGAGGCGGATGGGAGGGCTATTCCCAGTACAAGACTTGTTCAATGGAGCCACCTATCTGGGAAAAAAAAAAAAAGAAGTCATTTGGTTCTGAAGTGGAGTGGATCGTACCTAGAATCTAAGTTCCACACTGCTCGTTGAAAGTCAGTCTTGTGGGCTTATAAGCATTACAAGCCAATTTCAAGAACTGATCGTACGCAACCTACGGTTTCTATAATTGAGAAATAATACAAACACCATTATTACAAGTACATTTTTCACTGGAAGAAGAAATAGCTCAAGACAAATAGACCCGCCTGGGTAATCAAATGTACCTAATCACTAAACTCTCAAATTCATTAAAAATGAAATAAGGGGTCCAAAAAATGTAGAGATTATAATCGCTAACCAGGTTTTGCCATCCAAGTAAAACACGTCTGCCTTAGATCCCAACTTCATGCATGCCATGGGATATCTGTGGTTACAAGAGACGGCATTCAAATTCAATGGGTGTAATAAAGAGATGAAAAGGAAGGAATTGGGAAATTTTCAAGAAACCTACTGGCTACAGCCGTTACAGAAAAGAAATGGTTTGTTTGGATACATTTTAATTTTAATGTAACAATAAAGAGTGCGTTTAATTTTGTTTCCTTAAATAGGATTTAACTATTCGATAATGAAGAATCCAATATTAATTCTCGATTTAACAAAAACGTAATACAAAATAATTAATTATTGTAAACAATTTGTTGCTGGTTTGGGACCAATTTCTAGATTTTGTAAATTCCCGTGTTGTGGAAGTTCGTCATGTCCAGTAAATAATAAGATCATGTGACCAAATCAGATGGCTAGGAAACGAAGCTACTTCACGATGAGGAGTATGGGGAATGCAGATTGCAGAGACCAAGAAATGATGTAGAGTGTCTTATGTCTGTTCATAATTTAAAAGTTCGTGTCGAGTCTAATATGTAAAAAAAGGTTGAACCCCAACTTTGAGGATCCTCACCGTCCCGTCCTTTGAACTTTATGAGGGAGGTAAATTTCGAGATGTGCCCCAAAAGGCCAGTGAACAAGAATTACATGTATACTGCGGCTACAACGAGTCCAATTCCATGTCTCAGGAATCGAACCCCCACACTGCGGCTGCCAGAAAGGCTTGAGATAACCTCACTCCTGTCTTTTGCACCACTGTACTATACCCCGAGGGGCATGTCGAGTCTAATATGTAATTATATTTATTATGCGTGTCAAATTGAAAGCAATGAGAGTTTTATAGCATGTCTCAACTCTCTACTCATGCTTAGATTGATGGTATTGGAATATCCAAATGAACCAATAACTTTTTGAGAAAATTGAAGGTACGCTTACGAGAAAATTAAAGGGACGCCCTTCTTAAAGTATGTAAGTTATCAAAACATGAAAAGTATATGAGTACATGATGCACTAACCAAGAGTTGTATAAAAAGACCGTTAAATATAGCCCTCACAAGTGAGTAATATTTCAGTAAACATAAACTAAATTTGTAAGTATTCGATAACATGTTTTCCAATGAATGATGTAGTTAGTCAAAGGTGGTAAGAAACCTCGTGCACAAGGTGATTAAAGAGCTTGAAAGTTCGTATAAAAGGAGTTTATAAATAGACAAAAACGAATGGTGGGCTGAACCAAGTCCAAATATTTATTGGACTAAAGCCAAAGTTGGAAGTCAAACGGACTGATCGAGAGGTGTAAACAAGCCAAGACCAATTTCGTCCAAAAGGTCGAAGTAAAAAAATTGCTAATTAAAATTTTTTGGCATGTTTATTTGATTAAGGATATTCCCATTGCATGCATGTCAATATCAGATTTTGAATTTATTGATAAATGCATTTTTTGTGTTTATTCAGACTTTTATTCTTATTTATTTATATGTAAATTAAACGAATATCTACTTAATTTGTATCAACTATAAATTATGTTAATTGTGAGAAAAATCCATACTTGGATACAATTGGTATGAAAAGAAGAAGAAGCTATTTTGGAGCTTAATTGGAGTTAATTCGAGGCAATTAAAGATTAATTGAATTACAACTTGCAAGTGGTCAATTGAAAGTATTAATGGAGATTCGATAAAAATTCATTAAGTTTTGGGAGTTAAATTCGATATTTGGAAAGCTTGAGACCTAAATTTAAGGCTGGACAAAACTTTCGAACCGACCCTAACGGTTCTTCTTTTAAGATGCACGTTCTAAATTGAAAAACAAGTCACAATTTTCATTATCGATGGTCAATATCTTTATATGTAAATGGAACTGAATTTTCAGGTTGATATCGATGCGAGGAGGTAGTCAGCCTCATTCTTGGATACCTAAACAAGAGGTGAAACAACATTAGTTACTCCATAGTTAGATGTCTGAAACGATAATTCCTCTGAAGAATATAAGTTTCATTCAATAATGGAGTAAGGACCAACTTTTTGCACCAAAAAAATCTCCATCTAACACTAATTGTTCCTGCCAATTGTTAAGCCACTGGATGCCTTACTGTAAAATGAAATTATGTTTTACAAATATGCAAATGAAAGCGTGATATTGGAGTGAAAAGATTACGAGGAATGCTGAAGTCGAAGAATATTAGGTTAAGCCTAAAATGGAAAAGTACTTAAAAAGTAACTTTTAAGCTTATCTAAGAAAAAGTTACGTTTTAGTAATGTTTGCCCAACAAGAATAAAAAACAGTAGGTGTAACATTTTTCAGGTTTAGGCAGACGTACTTTACGAACAAGTTTATCTTTTCTCTAATAGCTTTAAATTTTTAGTTAAGGTGGTGGCAGTTGAGGATTCAGACCCGCTAGTGCCGTCCTCCTGCGGGAAATTTTCCGATATATAATGGCAGAGAACAAGAAAAACGCCGAGGCTATTGTGGCAGCTAAAATGGGTGGAGGGAGAGGGATTTTGCTTTGTTGATGGTGGTGGGAGGGCGGTGGTTCCGAAAATGGTGGCGAAAGTGGTGGCATTGTTGCGTATAGTACTGAAAAATAGTGTCTTTAGGTAATCAAAAAAAACTAGTAAGACGAAGAAGAAAGAACACAGTGTTGAGAAGTGCGTCACTGAATCACCTCCTTCTGTTTGTTATCCTCTCTCTCTCTCTCACACCTGATATTTTGTCAGTTATTGAGTCAAACGCTACAGTTACAGCACCGTGATATATCACCATGGTGTGGCAGTTGAGGCTTCAGATCCGCTGGCTACTTTTTTCCATGGGACACCCTGCTCTCTTTCAGATTAATTATGAAAGTTTCCTATCCTCAATTTGCAGGGTGACACATGGGAAGAGCCGCCCGAATACCTCTCAGAGACGTGGCAATTTAATCATCTAGATGCATCCAAGTCAGTTTCTACTGATTTCATTAGCATTAGCTAGACAATATCACGTAGCAGTCTCTGTTGAACAAAGATGGAGAGAGAGAGGTAATATCAGATTGATTCATGCATAGATAGATAGATATACACTTTTCGAGTCTAGACAAATTTGATTCATTATTGTTACTGATTTTTTTGGATGGAAGATGTGCACCAATTTATATAGTTATTTTCCTCCCTCATGTTTATACTAACTGCTATTCTACACAATGTTGTACTTATAGTTTTTGCAAGATTTTATCGTATTTTTACTTTTCCATCTCATGTTTAGAAAAAAGAAAAACTCGTGATGTTCCCAATTTTGTCTAGCGTTGATTAAAACCAACGTTCTTAAGGCCAAAAAGTCAGATCGAAGGGAGGAGGGGGGGGGGGGGGGGGGGGGCCCCACAT